ACACGAAAGTGGCTTATAGAGGGATGTATATAGGCCGAGCTAGGGTTTCGAGGTAGGGCAAGAACTTGGGGAACAAAAATTGAACTCCATATATGAATGGTTTCATAGAAAAGCAATAAGATAGTGAAAAAGGCCCAACTTGATGAACAAGCACCCAAAAAAACCTAAAAAAATGAGCTCCATTTAAGCTTAGAGAACAGTAAATAAGCAACTATTTTGAAACTATACTGCAAAATTGAAACAACGAAACACAAATCGAAACAGAGACGAACAGAGAATCACTCGATGAATGTATATGCCAATAATTTTTCACGCATAAAATTACAAGTAAAAGATTGTAACTTGAAAGTAAAACAACCTGATATCACAATTTTTTCGAGCGAAAATTACACAACAGTGGCTTATTGAGGGATGTATTACCTCTTGGGCGGAGCTAGGGTTTCGATGTAGGCAAGAACTTGGGGAACATTATCTTTTTTTTTTCTTTTTTTTTTTTTAGATTTCACTAGTACGAAATCCGGTGCGATGTACGAGTAAAAATATTTATTAGTATTTAGAAATAAAAAATATGTATTAAATAATACTTTATAAATTAAGAATATTGGATCAATATGTAATACAGTTTACTTATTAATATTTTTAAAAATGTTATATGAAATTTGAATTGTACAAAATTACATAAAATATGTATATTAAAATTAGTACACAACTCATACAATGCACGTAACTAATAATAAGTTATATTATATTTATTTCAAAATAATATTATTTTAAAAAAATTTATTCAAAATTTTGATTTGACTACAATGTGATTCAATAAAATAAATGTTTTGGTAAAATTTTATCATATATTAAAAATCTATGTGAATAATACGTATAATTATAAAACTTATATTATTTCATTAACTAAAATGAATTTATTTTCGTATGACATATCCAAATCAAAAAAATTAAGTAGTTGAATAATTTATTAAACTATATATAATTGAATAATTCATTTGCATCCAAGTTAATATTAGCATAAGCTATGAATAACTACTTATTTGATCTTTAGATTTTGAACATAAAATTGGACTACACAAATAAACTTTTTTATATATTTCATGTATATTATATATATCTCGCATTTTTTTTAGATTTGTTGCCAGTTACCTTATCGTTCAAACTTATCAATTAATTTGTAAAATTAAATTACTAATTTTAAATTTTATTAACCAATGTTTGTTCAAAGTAATTTTCTAGATGAATTTATCAATTTGTCGGATTATCATCAATATATTATGAAAAATTATTATGCCAATATGTTAAATTTTAAGAATCACATCACCTTGATTTTATAAGAATGTGTTCATCCACATTTTATTTTATATTATAATCAATCAATTGAGAGATGAAAGAAAAATATTATTACCAATTTTAAAAATATATAATTTTTTTGTTACTTATTTTTATATTTTATTTTATTTTTGCCAATTGACAATATTATGTTTGATCACATTGTGCACGCAGATAATTTTTTAGATTTAAAGTTGTGAACTTAAGAAAAATCTTATGTGGTTCACAATGCATATAATAAACAATTGACATTTGTCAAAATTTATGTGATAACAATATTTATGCATTGCAAATGCTCTTATTTTGTTTTAAATAATTTCAAATATACTATATCCGTTCCAAATAAGTTTCATACTATTTAAATTCCAACATTTCATAACAAAAATAAATCACCCATTTTATACCACAAAATCGTACATTTATTATTAACAACACATTTTCTACGAAAAGATAAAAATGGCTCTCAGATACTTAAAATAAAATTATCAACTTTATACCAAAATTGGATTTATTAATTTTGTCAACTTTATACCATAAATTAATTAAGTAATTTCTAAAAGTCACTTCTACATTTTGTCCAGAATATTTTTTAGCGGCACATAAATATTATTTATATTTTTGTATTTGGTTATCTTGTCTACGAAGAAAAATATAATCTTGCAACTCTACTATGCCAACAAAATGATGTATGAAAAATAACATAAGTATTATTTATTATGTTTTACTCAATACAGGAAATATAATATAGATATAAAGATTAACGATTAATTCTCTATAATTGCTCAATCAAGTCTATATTTAAACTAAGGATTTCGAAAGTTTCTATAATATCCCATATTTGTTTCCATAAAACTAAATCATCCTAAATTTAAATTCAACTAATAAAGGTAATAACTGTAAATATTTGACTAAAAAGATTATGTACATTAATTACATTGATTTTTATTAAATTACTATTTTTAGGCCATAATTAATGAAATTGGCGGGAAAATGTTTCTAAAAGTGAATTATGTTAATCCTTATTATATATTAATAGATATCTATCTATCTAGGCAGTATAAGATTTATAATTACACTTATTATTCACATATATTTTTAAATAGACGAGAAAAAATTACAACTTACCTATAACTTCGATTCGATTTAAAAAAATTCGATTGTGTTTTTTATTCCAAACAATCAAATTGCTGAAAAATTTTCCTTAGAACTTGAATTGAAATTTTAAAATTCAAAATCCCTTCTCATTTTAGTTGCCATTAAATTGGGTTTAATTCAAAATCTCTTCCTAATATAAATGATTATGTTTAAATTGAATTTAAAAAATATCTAATCGCATGCTTATATCTATATCCTTAAATGAAGGATTTTGTGTCATTCCAAAATTAATAAACCTCTTGAAAATTACAAAATCATAATGAATTTGCATTTTTTTTTGTTTCAATCTGCACAAAATTCAAAATGGTTTAAGAATTTCAAATCAATTGAAATTCATCTCTTCAATTTTTTTTCCATAAGTTTCAAAATTCTACAATAATTAAGTCATGCATTGTTTCAAAAATCAAGAGGATAATTTTGAAAATAGACAAAATTTAAACTAAATTGCCTTCCGCCGACCTGGCCTTTGGACGACACCTTTCTCAAAATTTTTCTTTTTACAGTAACTAAATAATAATAATAATTTTAAAATCTTCTGTACTCAAATTACGTAAGATAATAATAATAATATGTACAGTAACTAAAAATTAACAATAATTTTGAAACTTTTGTACTCAAATTCCTTAAAAGAATAATAATAATAATTTTAAAATTTTTTGTACTCAAATTACTCAAAAGATCTTCTATACTCAAATTTTCAGGTACGGTAGTATCGTCATAACTTTCAGCATCATGTCAATCTTTATTTTAAATATACTAGGTAAATTTTCTTTCAAAAACTTTATAATGTATTTATTTAGCTTATAATATTTTATCATGTCATATATTCAGAAAATATTTTTCATACAAATGTAAACTTTAATGTTTTTAGATATATTTTCTTTACAAAATAATTTAGAAAAGTTGTAGGTGACTTCACATCTTTTAATAATAATATAGAAAATTTTAGATAATTTTACATATATATGTTAATATAATATTTTAGGAGTTTTTAATTGTTTAAATATACTAATTTTATGTTCTCTTGAACACGCTATCGTTTATAATAAACTGATATACCGTAAATTATATGACATGTTAACCCCAAATCGTTAATTTATAATTATTATTTAATATCGTTTACTCTGATCTTTAATTTATAATTTTTTTTTTGCTCTTTTAAAAGAAGATCAGTAGTGGTACCCTACTTCTTTCATTGGGTGACTCGAGCTCGATACTATTTATAATTATTGTTTAATAATGTTTACTTGTGCATCGCACAGGATATGCACTAGTCTTGTATAAAGGTTGAGACTTTAATTAAAGCTTAATCATTTAGATTAAGAAATCTTGTGTTGACGACCTATGATTTTGGTTCTAGCATATATCTCTTCGTTTATTTGCATTTTATTGAGCGGTGGAGACTCCGGTCAACCAAAATTCTGATCTTTTCTTGAAAGTTAGAATCGTTACTCAATTGCTTTCGAGTCCTTAGTTGCAATTAGTCTTAAATCAACCCATAGTATTTTTAGGATTTTATTTGTTATTTTTGTGCCTTTGGACAACTAATTTGTAGGATTTTATTTGTTTAAAAAATTCTAAACAACTATGCTAATATATATCTATATATATATATATATATATATATAATAAGGGGCGTTTTGTTTAGATGTTTTTTAAAACTCGATTCTTTTGTAGAAGTCGGGTCTTCATTGAGAATCGATTACCCACTGGAACTGGAAAAAACCGAACCGAAACCTATTGTTTCAGTTACAACTCGGTCCCTGCTAAAAATAGTAACCGAACCAAACGGGATGACAACTAACAAAACATGAACAATTCCCAAGAAAAAAAAACAATAACCGAACCGAACCCACCCCTAATTTATGAACAACTCCCAAGAAAAAAAGACTAACCTAACCGAGCCCACCCCTAATTTTTTTGACGTGTGTGGGCTCAGGATGGCCCCTCGTATGTAGTTAGATGAGCGTGAATGTGTATCTATGCCCATTTGGGCCTATATTCACTTTGTGTTTTTATTTTCTTTCTTTTTTTCTTTTTTTTTTTTTTGGACGCAAGGATATTCATGTTCCAAAACAAAAACAAAAAAATAAAATAAAATGTTTGATATAGCACACAGAGTACAAAAACCACATAGTACAAAATAACTATTGAACATAATAAGTTAATAACTATTGAACATAATAAGTTAATAACCCGAGAGGTACAACACACAGAGTACAAAAACCACGTCAACATAACATGTCATCCTGAACTGTTTGATATAGCCACGGCTAGTACTGCCGGCTCGACCGGTAGTATCTAATATAGCATGTCGTACTCGACCGGTTTTTATGGGTATATATTGAAGAATACGCCTATACATGAGCCAATACGTTTGATATGATAATATGGGCCGAGCCCAACCTAGGCCAGACCCAACTTGGACCATAAGGTACACTCCCCTATAAAAAAATGGGCTAAGGTACTCATTTATTCTATTATCTCGTCATTCCAATACCACTCTCTCCCGACTCTCTCTCTATGCATGAATCCAGTACTGACTTAAGCATCGGAGACCCAAAGCCGGGCACCCCTCTCGGGGTCCCCGACTTTGGGTTCTTGCAGGTACGGTGGCCGTCCGAGTCGATGGAGCGCAGGTGACATCTTTGTCCCATCACAGTTCAATTAAGTTAAATTAAACAGTGACAAAACATATCCCCCAAAATCTACTCAATGACTTCAATTTTACATAATATCCCCAATTAGCAGGCAAAAGAAACAAACAGCTCTCAACGACCTGAGTAGAACAGACAACCGTAGAAACCTGTCTCCCCCAACACTATATTCATTTTCGCCTTCCCTCTGAAATTGGGGTTCATCACTTTAGACTCTCTCTCATAACGCATTTGTCGAATAAAAATCTGCATTTGGCGCAGCCATTTAATAATAGCATTTATATAAAAAGGAGGAGCTAAATTCTTTCATATACGAAAACTGAGGAATGGGATGAGATTCTTTTTATACAAAATTACACCAATTCAGACTCCCAAACACACCCAAAAATGCACAATAGAAACACAGGCCTACGAGTATTTTCATGATAAGTTGGAAGTGTTTCTGGTGGTATGCAGTACTAAGAAATAAGGTTCATTAATGCCGAAACCACAACATTTTAAGAAAAGTTCATCAATTTTTACCTCTCTGAACCGACGCTTAAATCCATCGCTATCCTGTCGATGATCAGGAATCCCAAGGTCATGTTTAGAAAGCAATGCAGCCTTCAACCCCTACACGAAAAAAAATAAAGAAAGAAAATAATAATAATAATAATAATAATAATAATAATAATAATAATAATAATAATAAAACAACAACAACAACATGCACTCATTGAATGCGCTCATTTAAAGCGAGAAGAAAATCCTTGATGATTATTTAATTAGAGTAAAGAAGATTAGTAGCTGCATCATACTGTACCTCAGTATCACCAATCGAACTTGTATAATACAAATAGTAATCTTTTTCCACATCAGCATCAAGCGCATTATCAGATGTATCACTTTCTCCCCTAGCATCATCTCCCAGTGCTTCCTTCACAAGCTAAAAACCACACATTTCATGCTTTTCAGATCAATAGAATCAATTCAAGTAGTAATACACAAAATAACGTGTTGATCAATCTTATAAATAGCCCACTCTAAAACAAAATCTTCAATTAAAAATTACGAAAATAATATAAAACACTAAGAAAAGAACTCTCATCATCATCAGCATCATCAACATACTCTTAAAATCCAGAAATAAAAAGGTACTAGAAAACTACCAAGGGAAAAAGAAAAAGTACCAAACAGAGCTGCTTACATCAATACGGCTAGGAGGTTTCCGGTGTCTCACAACGTTCAATCTTTTCTTGCGCCGATATTTAGGAATCAATGCAACCTTCAAACCCGGAAGCTAAAAAGCATAACAAACAAGGACGAATTGAAATTAAAAATTAAGATTCACTATAGAAGAGAAGAAACTTCTCTAGAGGTCAATATTTACTAATGTATAAAAAAGAACACCAAGGTGGGTTTGTATTGCATTGTACCTCTGCATCACCAACAAAATTGTCATAACATTCAGATTCAGAGTCAAGTTCATCATCGGATGTATCATTTTCCACTGTAGCATCATAACCATCATCTCCCCGTGCTTCTTTCATGAGCTAAGAAACACAAATTTCCCATTTTTTTTTTATAGTTTTCAACAATCATTTCAAGTAAAAAAAACACAAAACAATGTCTTGATCAATCTCATAGTTAGGCACATTATAAAATCAAATTTTAGATTTAAATAGAAAAAGAAAACAGTAAGAACAAAAAATTCAAAATACAATGAATCCGAAAGCCACTTACATCGAAACGCCGTAAGATATAGGTTGTTTTTTTCTTGTGACGCCTTATCTTGTTGGCCGGTGTTTGTGGTAGCTTCGTCTCTACTCTTTCCGTGCCCGAAAAATCAGTATCAACAATTCCATTACAGTAATGGTCAATGGAAACGGCATCAGTTGGGAAATGTGGGGAAGACCATGTTCGGTGAAACTTCTTTCTGTGCACCTTCATCAAACGCTGCCTATGGACAGTCCGAATAGAGAATTCTTCCACCCTTCAATCATTATTCATTCGTTCATTTCAAATGAAAAAAAATAAAAATAAAAAAAATTAACAATTAATAACAAGCAAAAGACTCCAAAATGACAACAACAGATATCCATGGCCAGGGATCATAAAAAAAAAATGATAATAATAATAAATAAATTAAAAATTAAAAATTGGAAGACAAAACTTTGCAAACTCAGAATCAGTGACTACAGAATAACAAAAAAAAAAGAAGAAGAAGAAGTAATTTTTGTGGGATCACACATAACAGCCTTGTTAATTGAACTCCCTACATGAAAGCTTTTGTAGAAAAGCTACAAGAGAGTGAATAAAGACCCAACTTGATGAACAAGCACCCAAAAAAACTTACCAAAAAAAAAAAAAAA